AGTATCATAAAATCCAGAAAAGTGCATGTGTAGATATAAAAACCATTTTTTTTATATCGAAACAGCCGCGCAGGCAGAAGCCTAAATGCCGGAACACCGCGGCTGCTATGATGAACCCAAAGAAATTTTGTTAATACGATTTTTGAACTGCTTAAGGTTAGTAGAACTGGGAAAAGCTTCCTCCCGCAGATTGTTCCACAATCTAGACACCCTCGGGACAAAGGAGCGGTCGTATCGGCCAGTTCTGGATGTACGAAGCTTGACACGGTTAGGATGGGACGCCGAAGTCAGGCGGGTCTGTCTGGCAGGCACATCGCGCGGCGGCATCATGGAAGAGAGCTCTGAGGAGCAAAGCCCGTGGGTGTAGCGATAGAAAAGAGCTAAATCGCCGACGAACCGCCGGTGCGAAAGAGTCCCGAGACTGTCTGTTAGAGAAGAGTCATCGATCAGTCGGAACGCCCTCCTCTGGACAGCATCGAGCATGGACAATGTAGTCGGGGCGGCAGCACCCCAAATGTGTGAGCAATACTCGAGGCTAGGCCTTATCTGGGCCTTGTATAGAGTGAGAAGGTCATGCGGAGAAAAGTACTTCTTAGCCCTAAACAAATAGCCTAGCTTTTTCCCAGCAGCTGCAGCTATTGAAGAGATGTGTTCGTGCCAGGTCAAGTCCTCAGTGATCTGGACTCCGACCAGCCGAAATGAATGGCTCTTTGGTAGAGCTCGACCGTCCATCGAAACTGTATGAGCGCTAGGACGCTTTTTGTTCGTCAAAGTCCAGTACTGTGTTTTGGAAGCATTGAACTGTACAAGATTGTTGCGTCCCCAAGCAGTGATAGCCTCCAGGTCTCTTGTCAGAGAAGAAGTCGTCGCCAGTCTTCTTTTTTCCAGCTCAGCGGCAGAGATCGGCTTGTCACTCTGAATTCCTGCATGTAGAGTGCTGTCATCAGCGAAGCTATGGATTGAGTTGATCGTGCAGGAAAGGAGGTCGTTGATATGTAAGAGAAACAGTGTTGGAGCCAAGACCGATCCCTGAGGAACACCCGCGTTGACGTTGTGGGATGAAGGGCAGAATCCGTCAATTACGACGGATATCTTGCGGCCAGAGATAAAGTCAGCCACCCATCTGCAAAGCTTTTCTGGGAGGCCGTAGGATGGAAGTTTGCTTAAGAGGGCAGGGTGCCACAGCTGATCGAACGCTTTCGTGATGTCAAGAGCAACGACATGAGCCTCACCATGAGACTGGATGAGTTTACTCCACAGTTGCGTGACGTAAGCTAGGAGGTCCCCTGTGGATCGTTGGTGCCGGAAACTGTACTGCCTGTCGCTAATCAAGCTGTGACGTTCGAGGGTCGGTCTTAGATCCTTTTTTTGGGATGGGCTGTACATGAGCAAATTTCCAGTTTTCTGGGAAGGTGCCGGATTCATAAGATATCTGGAAGAGACGCGAAAGAACTGGAGCAAGCTCCGCTGCACATCTCTTCAGTACAATGACAGGAATCAAGTCCGGACCAGAAGCTTTGTTGATGTCGAGCGACAAGAGCACTCGTCTTACGGCCTGAATGTTACCTCCCGCATAGTGTGGGGAGCCCTTTGAATTGACGGCACTGGGGCGTTGGTGGGGACGTCCATGGTGGAGTTGGCAGCAAAGATCTTGGCTAGCACTTCCGCCTTGGACTTGAGTCGAATACAATAGTTCCATCCCGACACGTAAGTGGTGGAAGGCTAATGTGTGAGAAGTTCTTTTCAATCTGCTTGGCCAGTGTCCAGAAAGACCGACTGCCATTGCGCTGCGATATTACCCTGTGCCTAACTTTTATATCATGCTGGTTTTTGGCATTGCGAACCGCTTCGTTATATTTGTTTCTGGACTCGACGTCGGCTTGTCTGTTCTCTACAGTGGGGTTTTGTAAGTAGGTTCTGTGGGCCTTGATCTTCTGCTGGCGAGCAGTGTCACACGATTTGTTGAACCAGCCGTTGGACCCTGGTTTAGGAACTTTCACTGTGTGAGTATGTATTCATCCATTCCGACGTGGATAATTTCGGTTACTGAAGAACAGACAGTCGAGGCATCCGCGTCAGTGAAACAGACATCTCTCCAAGGAAGGCTAGAGAAGAAGTCTCTGAGCTCCTTCCAGTCGGCATGTCCGTAATGCCAAGTTTTGCGGCCTGTGCTAGTTTTTGCTGCCACAGCGGCTTCTGACCGAAACCTAACCTCCACAACACCGTGATCTGAGTTACCCAGGGGGGACAGGACAGCAGTGCTGTAAGGGGCAGGATGCGTGGTCAGAAAGAGATCCAGCAGGCTACTGGCGTGTGACGAGACACGGGGCAAAAAAGTAGGGCTCGTCACCAGCTGGGTCAGCCCTTGAGTAAGAGCGAACGCGTCGACTGCACGACCTGCTGCATCGGTCTTATTTGAGCCCAACCAAAGCTCATTATGGGCATTGAAATCACCGAGAAGAACTACCTCTGAAGCGGGGTGATTGATGTTCAGGAAGTCGATCTGGACGGCGAGGTATTCCTGTAGGTCATCCCAGTTATGGTTAGAGGGAGACCGATAAAGCAACAAATAAATTTGGATGATGTTTTGTAGTTGAGGCGAAGCCACAGAATGTCCTTCCGGTCTGATTCCAAAGAAAGATCCCTGGAGCAGGAAAGACTGCTGCGGACAAAAGCTACAACTCCCCCGTTCTTTCTCAGATTGGAGTGCACCTCGTAGTTTGGGAAGTTGAGATGGTTAATCGATGCAGTCTCTGAGATTTTTGTCTCCGCCAAGAAAATCACGGCGGGACGATTGGGTTGCAGGTAGTGATGAACAGCATCAATGTTGCTGTTAATCCTGCAGATGTTCGAAAAACAAATTTTATCTTCGATGTTGTTCCCTCGAGGCCACCCTCCACCCGGACATTCCGAGAGTGGAATGTGTTTACGTACGGAGTTCTTAGTGCTCGAGGGATCCATCATCATTAGTTTCTTTGTTTTGGAAGATAACCGACTGTATAGCTTAGGTGTGGAAACATGCGGACATTTATAAGACACCCTGGGAAAAGCTAGCGGGTGGTACTGCCTCGGTCGACTGGTCCTTGTCTACCACCTTCTTTTTACGTGTTAGTCATGTTAAATAGACCTAAAGTGGCCCGTTGGCGGACTTGTACCGCCACCCGGCAATCGGTACTGAGGTATTCCTTAACGCGTGCACAATCACTTGGACGGGAAGAAGTTGTATACTGGATACAACAACTTCCGGAACAAGCATTTGCACGGCCGTCGCTCAGTAGGGCGACGACCATTAAGACATCGGACTTTTATCATCTAATTTTTCCGTTGTTACCCGGATCCGAAGCTTCGTAATGATAGAACGTCTTTGTCTGTTATTGTAGATCATTCACTACCCCCTATCCTCTAATGAACAATTCTCAACCCTTACAAAAATAACCAGGAGCGTCAAAAAACGAAGCGTGAGCGATTTTTTTTTCGTTTTTGGCCTTCTTCTTAGCCGCCACTGGACTGATTTTCCTACATGGCATAGTAGTAACATTGTGCGACACACAGACATACCGACAAAAATGAATGACGTGGTTTTTCGTAATGCACATGTCATTTAATACCCAGGTAACATGCTTATACCATTTCCTAAACTTTTTTGCAGCTCGTCAATCACAAAAAATGTAGTGATAATTATAAGTGTTCAGAGAATGTTAGCTATTTTTTTTTAATATCCAGACAATTGTTCCTTTTTCTTACGTTGTCCCTTGCAAGTTGCTGTAATGCGTGAGCTATCAAATCACGGCTCTACGTGAGTAATTCCGAATATAAACGCAGGAAGGAAAGCGTACAAGTGTGAACATAACTGACAATCGCGAAAGCCTACGGTGAGGTCACAGCTTTGCACATGATAAAATGTCTTTTAGTTCCCTCCCTTTTTGGTAAAGATTAAAGAGCTCCCTGCTTTTTGAGTTCCTCCAGCCATGTCTACAATTAGCATTCACGCAGCGTCAATATTTATGTAGCGTCGTTAAAATCTATACAATTGAGCGTGGAACGCACAACATTAACATAAAGCGAGGATTTCCAAGCCTGTAATTCGCCAGCCGTTCATTTAAAATTCCAAATTGTGCGTAGCCAGCGGCAACGGGGGGCCAGAAAAGGCGGTGGCGCGATGGCGCCATATGCTATTCATCCGAAAATATTGACACAACAGGTGCGTATAACTGGAGTCAAATACATACGCTGAAACTCGCTAATGAGAGAAGTTTGCATGGAGGAGTTATCGCTTACACATGGGTACAAAGTTTCTGATAGGTATTAATTCTGGTGAGGTTTATGAGACAGCTAAATTAATTATAATGGTGATTAATAATAATAATGATTATTATTATTATAATGATAGTAATAATAATAACACCATTTATTATCCAACAGAAGTAGCCTATCTACAGACACAATTTACGTATTAATGAAATAAATCAGTAAAAATACTTTCAAGATTTCTAAAAGTACAAATATATCATATAATTACAAATTTGATTAAAGTTTGAGCACATTAGGGGAGACCGGGGATAGTTGACTAGTTTTTTACATCATACATACTTTTTGTGCTTTTATAGATACAGACAATAAAACTGTAGAAATCAATGAATAGAAGAACTATTGAACTTATAGAAAAATATAAAAACCAGTCCATTATTCAGTATAATGATCATAATTTAACGCATTTTACAGAACACCAATTCTTAGTCAATTTACCCCGGCTCCAGGGTAGATTGACTATATGCCCGGGGTAAGTGAACAACAACAACAAAACTTTTTATTCAAAAACAATTTTAATCAGTTACAGACATTATCTTACAATAAGTCTTTAACAAAAGTGTCAACTCCTAGTTTTTATTTAAACATTAATTAGTTTCATCAACTAAACAGTTCCTTTATATCTTATAATATAAGTCTTCAATATCAGAAGCGCAATGTTTGCATTCAAAAAATATTAGATCACGTCTTACACATTTGGAATGAGCCCATAACTTACAAGTTACGCACTGAATCCATTGTTCGCCTGGAACACTATCGACGTAGGATTCAGTGCACTCTAAACAAATCGTACTCTCGTCATCTGAATCTACAGCATTATCGTCATTTTCATTGACGGTGTCATCAATAACCTCATCCTTTTCCTTTGCCCTTCCCTTTTCTTTTTTTATTCTGTCCTTTGTATCTGTTTTTTTCTTCTTATATGTTTTTCTTTTGTTTTACATATCTAAAAGATTTAGTCGGTATATATAGTACTTTTACGTTTCCGAATATTTCTTCTATTTTCTAAAAGTGGCACCGCTTTTGGAAAGGCTCTTAGCTCTTCAAATGTTGCTGATTCAAGTTGATGAATGTTAGATTGTGAAAACATGAGAGCACATTTGCTTCTCTAGAATGAACGTGTTCTGGTGTTTTGAGGTTTTCTCTCAGTTCCGGTACAAATCCAGAATTGAATGTTTCGTCAACAAGAGAAGGTGACTCACATTCAGTCCTCAAAAATCTTGTAGAGATGGTGTTGTGGTAGTAATCTGGTCTGTATTTACAGATAAACATTGCGGTGCCAGAGAGGGAGTTTTAGTTATTGTATGGTGATCAGGAATTAGAACCTCTTCGACGATAGACAACCTGTTAGATGCATCGGAAGTCGATGGAACAGACACTGACATCACATGCTGAAGAATTATCACTATCAGGGGAAGAGAGCATCGGCCTATCTGTCATATAAGAACCACTAAACTCGGAGTCAGGAAAAATGTTTTCATTCAATGGTGAAATCTCGGTTACTCCGAATCCTGATTGAATATTTTCAATTGTAGCAGCCAATGGTAGTGACGTTTTAACCAGCTCCGCTATTTCATAAATTGTGATAGTGTTTCCCTATTTCAGCAAAGGTGTTATCCAGTCTCTACTTCAATGATCTTGGGCAGGCAACTTTTCCTCCACACATTCGCAAATTACACTGTAGAGCTAACTTAGGGTGGAGTCTTACTGCAGGGTATCCACAAGGGGTTTAGCAGCAGTCAGCTCTATCTAAATTCGAGAAAAAAAAACATTATACCTATACAGTTTTATAACGTCCAGAAAGAACCAATTGCGTTAATCATCTCTTTTGATGTCTCAAGAATATTCCTTAATATGAAATTCTAGGATATTTATCTTTAAAGTCCAATGTAAATATAAAGTCGCATCAATCATAACTCCAGGAACTGTCCTGACCGAAGCACAAATAGGCAGTGTCTGTTTATTATGTTAATTACTAATTATTCATTTTTTCTTTATTTAGTTATTTATTTGCGGTTTCCTATTACACACAAAAAACATTACGTTTATGTGACCGATTACCTTTATATAAATTATTAAACTAAAGACGAACTAATGATTCATGAGATAGCCCATCAACTTTTATTTAAAATCTAACACAATAAGATTGAATAGAAACATTTTTCATATACTTTTTGATGTGCTTAATATTGCTACTGAAAATACCTATATTGTAGCTTACAGCGACGTTGCAGGATCTAAGAATTCTAGTAACTGGTTCATTTATCCCATAATTGGTAGAATGATGTGAAATCGAAAGAATTCGGTATTGCAAGTTCGTCTTTCATTAACTTTAAAATGTATTTGAGTAAGCAGCTATGGGCAATATATGACACGATTAACTATTTTACACAAAACATAAATCCAAAAAAATCTCGCTGCGGTCATTAGTCCTAAGGCATTCTATATTTGACCCACTTCAGTAGCTGCCTCATCAAAATTTATACCTAAGTCCCTAACCGTATTGGTTCTCATGAGCTCACGGTTTTTAACTTTAAATTCATACATGAGAGAATTTGAACAACTACTGAAGCTTATCTGGTAGCACTTGTTCCAATTGATATTGATCTTATTAGCGCTACACCACAGAGTAATATTTGAGACCTCTTTGTAAAATTTCCGCATCGTGGATATTTCCCACTGTTCTCAATAATTTAAGATCATCTGCAATTTCAAAACTTTTATTATGGCATAGATCACCAACAAATAAATTAAGCAAAACTGAAGCAATGTGGAGCCTTGGGGTACACCTGGAAAGGCATTTATAGGGTTAGATTATGATCAGCGTATCTGACACTCTGTGTTTTTCCAGGCAGTAGCTTCTAAACCAATATAGTTGACTGATTGACAAAAGTCGACCGTGATTTACTCTGTCGAGAGCTCTCCTATAATGCGTGTAGATGGAGTCCACTTGAAGCCTGTTTTAATAAAGAATATTAATTTGAAACCGACTGTATGTGAGATTGTACTGCTTGGAGAGGACATCACTATATATCTATAGGGCTTAAAAAATTCGGTGAACAGCTTTTATAACTGAAAAGGATCTGAGCAGATGCCATTGTGTTTTGAAGAAGAAAACCTCAAAGCTACAACAGATATCTTGCTACAGCTATTCGAGGGCCTTGACAATGCAAGCAGTAACGACGCGATCTGTCCTAAAGCATCTAATGATTTTATTGCACAAGAATGTATTACAGTCCAGGAGATTTCTGGTTGATGCGTGTTGTTATTTTTAGTGTGACGTAAATTTTATAAGTTCATATCTACTATCTGATCAGATAAGACTTCTGATTGATACTTTAATAGCTGAGCAACTACCAGCAGCTTTGTCGGTCCATTATCGTAACCGCTTCTACAAGCTTAGCGTGTAATTCAAAATATAAACTGGGGAAACTTGCTTGAAAATGTATACGTCTATCTATCCACAGGGCAACAAGTGTACCTATCCAAAATTGCAACGTAGATGGAGCTTATTCCAAGGAAAGCTATTATGCAGATGTCTCTGCTTTTGATAGCTGTATTAGGAACATATATTGTAAAGCGACTGAGACGCTGAACGCATTAAATGGATATTGAAACTTATAGCCTGAAGTAAAATGATAATAAAATCAGTTTAGTCATAATAAGCTGTTTAATATTTGCAAAAAGGATTCCAGTTAGTACTTCCGTTTAATGGAATTGAGAAGGTATTAGAAATATAATTTCTTTGCTACTTAAAAGCTACTGCTGTAGGACTTTTCACAATGAAGCTACAAGATGCATATGCAATCCGCTCACATGCGCGGAAGTTTGTTTGTGTAAGCTCTTAGACATACACTGCTTTGCTTTATCACCATCTTGAAAATTTCGTCGACAACGTACGAGTCTTCAACATTTATGTATGTTATTTTCAGTGTCACAACTAGCTTGGTATGGGCGTACCAGTTTACCTTCTGTTGATGTTCGATATAAAACATAGCAATTCCTAAAGATGCAAATACAATGTTGACTGATTCCGTTAAGTTTATTGGTGTATTTTGGAAAAGTGAGTGAAAATAAACGGTCTTCTATCACCTAGTTTAGGTTTGTGTGTGCAAGAGCTAGTAGCAGCTACGTGAAGGCACGGCTTGTGCAGTGTGCAATTTTTCTTCGCTATGTTAGGCTCCGCACATTTCAGTTAGCCAAGCTGCTTACTTATTTCGCCTGACAATGTAATGTATCCTCCAAGACAGTGAACAGAGCTATTGAGTGTTCATTTGCTGTTATATACTTGATTACTTGTTATGTAAGGTAATATATAGCTATGACACGTGTAAGCAAATCTAATACTTCTACTTTTGAAACCTTTTTATGTTGAAGACAAAGTTTTGTTGTTGATGTACATTCATCTGTTAGTAACCATTTTGTAGGTGTTTTGATTCTCTACATATAAGCTGTTGAGAACTTTCTATCTGATCCATGAGTTTAGATTCTACAGGAGCACTTCATTTAAAGTGGCTTTTCCAATTGAAAATGTTGACGAGGTGTATAATCCTGATATACAGTGTGACTCAGATTCGCTTCTCTATACAGGTTGAACAAAGAAAGTTTTAGAGGAAACTCAGTGCTTTCGATAGCCGGCTTCAGATTTACGATCGGTCAATTGGTTTTGAAAATATCAGCGAAAGACTTAAAATGGCGGAATTTGTTCTTTGCCAGTAAATCCAAAACGGTTAATTTGACAGCTGTCAAAATGTGACATTATTGGGACATTTTTTAAGAAAAATAGTATAGCATGTATGACATGTTTCAATCGTCTTTTGTTTTCCAGCAATCCGCCTCAACTTTCATTTTCGTTATGACCCCCATATTAGGTCTTTTGATTTTTGAAAAATTAGTAAGATTTTCAGCTTAGTGAGGTCTCACAAGAGCATAAAAGATTGGAGAATCACCGTAACACTCTGTTGATTTTGACACATCAATTTCTCGTTCTTACTAGGGATTTCGTTGACAGCTTGTAAAATGATTCTGTCGCGATTTTCATTGTCAGTATTATATCCGCTTCCAGGTTGTTCAAAGGCCCCAGGGTTTATCAAATTAACTACTAGAGTAAATGCAGGTAATTTGGAATACCAGTTTGTAAAACAATCATACTCACCAAGGGTTGAGAGCAACAAGAGTGAAAACCACACTTACAGTAACTGAAACTAGTGTATTAATAGCATAAAAATAAACAACAGTCTTATTCTTCTATAAATGGCATAAACTTTGGTTTATATATAAAATCACTGAAAGGCACCAAATTCCTAATATGAATATAATTTGGAATATGGTATTCCAAATTATGTTCACTTTTAAATAATAGACTTTTAACTTAAAGTTCAGTTCTGAAATCTAGATAAGTCTTACTTAAACTCTTAAGACTATATATAGACTTTTCTCAGTGGCGGCTCGTGGTATTTGAGTTTGGGGGGCGCAAAATCTAATTCAAAAAATGTTATGACTCTGTATTAAACAATTCGGCTGCCTGTAAATGACCTCGAAAGGAAAATCTATCTTTTACTTGCATTGTTATTATGTCGCACACTTCTTTGGCAATGACCCCTCGTATACTGTCGTCAGTTCTTCTTCTTTTATTAGATTCAAACTTTGTTTCGGTATATTTTTTAATATCATCAATTTGACCTCTTATATTATCGATACTATTTTCAAAAATTACTAAGTCCTTTTGTAATTGAACACTATCTTGATTTCTTGACTGCAGCTGGTTATAAAGGATGTCAACATGCGGAAATATTTTATGGAATACTGTCAACCAAAACAAGAATTCTTGATCTTCTAACGCTCTTCTCAAACTTGAAGCTTCATTTGAAGTAACACCTCTATTACATCTCTCTTCTATTTCTTCAAACACCTCTAT